GGGGTTTGGTACTTTGTTAGGTTCCTAAGGCAGGAGAACCTTTATACCTTTGCAGCTCACATCAGGCTTTCAGGGTTGCAAACTCACGCAGGTGACATAAAAAGAAACTCTTACCATTCCCTTGGGCTATCTTAAAAGAAATCCTTTGTGCATTAAAAATATGATAGGCCACCAAGAAAGTCTTGGCTTTCCTTAAAAGACCCTAATGTTGGTGGCCCAGTTACTGTCCTGCAAAGGTAATGTGATTTAGGGGCCATGTTGGAAGGAGTCAAGGCTTCTCCACTTAAACTAACAGGCTCCAAAATCTTGTATGGGCCGATAAGGCTAGTGGGTCTTTATTTTGCCCATTAAAATTCAATTGGATCTAACTCAAAAATATTTTGTGGAAATCACTTATTTATTTAAAATTGTAGTTTTATACCAAGTACATTAATAATAATAACAATAAAAATGATAATAGTAACTTGTCCTCTAGAAAGGCAACATCATCCCCAAATTATGACTTAGACATTAAACTGCATTCAGGAAACAGCTACTTATTTATCAAAGATAATATGATATATATCTATTTAAATTTGACATATCTAAAATGTAGAGTAGAAATCAATTTTTAAGTTGCCTCAACATACTTACTGATTATTTCCTCATATAAAAGCACTTGGTTTCCATGAGTATGCATAAACATCTATAATTTCCAACCGATACTGTGAACTTTAGGTTGATGTCTACTGTACATGGATATTCAAAAGTATCCTGAGTCCAAAATTCATAAATAGAATATAGTGAATATGATGCTTAAATAGTACCCAAGAATATTTTACTTTTATAACAACATCCCTTTTTCCCTAAAATTGCTTACGGCCAATAACACATGGAAAATGAGGTTGTCTCCAATGACAGATCATTGCAACTGGACTAAAATAAAGTTTCTCAACTATTATAATAAACATTCATTGGCCAAACATCCATATGACCATTTAATGTAACTGCAGGAAGGGTGATCATTGAGCTCTATTGGGTCACACAGTTAACTAGCAGGCAAATGCCAAATGTAAAGCTAATTAAATTAAAATAGTAAAAAGATAATTAAGGTAGTTCCTACAGTAAGTTCTTCATAGCTAAGGAGAAGAGCATGGGGCAACACCTGCCCCTCGGGGCTCTTGATGATAGTATAACCTACACTGAACTTTGTCTTAATGCTGAAAGGTCTGTGTGTAGAAGAAGATACACAATTTTTAACTTTTAGACTTTAGATGACCTATTGCAGTAGATACTACTACCTACTCTAATACTTTATAACATCATTCTTGGCACAATCTCTGGGTCAATCACCTGGACTCTGGTTACTCCAAGTTCAATTGGGATGCTTTAAAAAAAAATCAATATTTCTAAAATTTTATAAAATCAATATTCTAAAATATCTATTTGATGCAGAAGGGAGTTCAAGCTTTTCATCCTGGGGATCGAGATCCACCACAAATGAACTGGTTATCGTTGTCAGATCTTACTTATGGCTTTCTTTGCACTGACACTCTCAGTTTGGGATTGATCTCTTCACTGTGTTGCAGCCATGCCAAGATTTGCTCATCCCTTTGCTCATTTTCACCTTTCCACCAATCCCTTCCCCTTCCTTCAACACGTTCTTCCAGCCCACAACCTTCTCTTCTGTGAATTACTGCTTTGGCCATTTGATTCTATATCTTTAGTCCTCACGTGGTGACCTTAGTAGTTAATCTAACCAGCAATCTCCTCTTAGAGAATACAGAAGGCCCATGGCCAACTCATCTGCATTTTCACACAGTACTTCCTAGGTGATGTCTCCAGTATTTGCTCATTATTTGACAAAAATGTCTCTGAAAAAAGTGACCATCTCAGATTCTGTAAATGTAAGCACAAGTTCACATGATGTTCTCTGCTAAAATTGAATGATGCAGAGCAATAGCTGGTAACTTGAAATTATCGAGAACTGATCTCTTCAGTTCCTAAAGGCTGCCAGATGAAGTTTCATTATTATGTAATGTTAATGTTCATTTATAAATCATTCACTGACTTTTATCTGGGTGGGGTGTAAGTGGGGGGTTATATACAGTTTAGACGCACAACTCTAATTATAAAGCAAGATGGTCTATACATATTGTAATGATTCTTTTACCAAAAAAAAAACCCACAAGGAGAAAAATATATTGTATTGAAGGTGTATTATTGAAAACTTTAAACTACAAGTTATCACAGACTTAAGGGTAAGAGGACCCAGATGGGAACTGGAAAATCTCACCAGAAGCCTAACAGAATGACATCTGTATGTTGTTTCATTTGATTTTTTTTTTTTTTTTTTTTTAGTGAAATTAGACCATAGAAGGATAGAATTCTGAGTGTATCTCTTCGGAATGACACTTACATTCTCTCAGTTTAAAGATATAAAGTCTGAGGAGGTAACTCAATCTTTAGGGCAGAGGGAGACAGAATTATCAAGTGTGAGTGAATCTGATGATAGTTTTGAAAGGCTGATTTAAAAATCTAGGGCAGGTACTATGATTTGTTTGAAATTTCATGGGCTGATATGTGAACATCTAACTGTAACACAAAGCAGAACCTGATAACTAATTTTATAGAATACTTGCATGCTATTTTGAAGAAAGATTAAATCCAATTGGAGCAACTAGTGAAATCTTCACGAGGAGATGATGCCTTTAGCTAGAGTTTCAAGTACAAGAAGAAAATAGTGAAACTGCAATCTGAGAAGCAGCATGAATAGAGGTGGAATGCAAAGACGGTCATGGTATTGGAGGCAGAAGAGTGAGGCCCAGACATGGGTGCCTGAGGGGCAGAGGCTGGAAAAGCACCCGAGGGCCAGATCACAAACTGCTTCCATTCTAAGAAGCTTGACAAGGGAAGCCACTAAAGTATTCTGAGGAGAATTTGGTTGGTTAAGGAAGATTAAAACTGAATTTTAATTAGGCAGAGATGGGGGCCAGGGCGGACAGGGAGAGAGTTGAATAGTAAGAAGGAACAAAGAGATGTGAAGAAGTGACTAGGGATTATATGTATCATTAAATGAAGAGGGTTATGTGTGTGTATGTGTGTGTTACATGTATGTGTGTGAGAGTGTGTGTGTGAGAGAGAGAAAGAGAGCATGAGCGAAGAGAGGCTGATTAAAGTGTTTCCCCGCCTTCCTTTGGGAAGAAAAATACTAAACAGTAAAGGCCTGTGATGCATAAAAGAAAATACTAAGAGTAATTATGGGTTTCTGTAAAGTGTGTTCCTGGTAGCTAATGTGCTGAGTCACTTTTAAGAGACGTTGGGCAACTCAGCACTTTAATCTGAATTTATTTTTCACTGAATTGAACTAAGCTGCTATTTTTTTTTTCTTCTTTGGGTATAGTTTGATGAATTTTATGGTCTCCCTCTGTATTTGATTACCCTACCAGAGTAGCAAGGATTTTCTTGGTACTTGATCCTCTTCATATATCTATCTTTCCACATCTAGTCTCTGCATTTGAGCTGCTTTGAGCCCCATGGTCCTTTATTTATTCATGCCGGCATCTTTTTTCCTTTTGATTTTAGCTATCACTGAAATTCTTTTGAACTCTTCAGTATATAGGATAATGCTGTTTTGTTCTATGTACGATTGTATTGGTGCAGACAGGCAAACAAGGAGGCTTGTCCTTCCCCCTTTTGACAGCAAATAGCATAGTGTTCTCATGTGCAGAATGTACAATCTTGACAGCCATTGTTGGGAAATGTTTAATAGCTAAGTGATTTGCATTTAGCATAGCAACTGATTTAAACCTTGGGTAGTGGTTTTTTAATACATTCTGGATTGAACTATATACTTTTCTTTTGTAGCTATCAGGTAAGGAGAAATGTCTCAATTAAGATGTATGTTACAAACCAGTGCATAAGACATCTCTCTTATAAGGCTATATGCATCAACTTCCTATGAATCAAAATTAAATAAACTAGCTCATGTTGTCATGGCTTCACAAAAAGTTGTAATATGTGACATCCAATATTTATTATGATTGTTCTCATATTTCAGTAATAAGGAAAAAAAGGAGAATAAATGAGAAACAAACTAATGATAAAAGATTTCTCTAGCATATGTCAGAAATAGAGCTTCACTTTAGTTGTCACAAAGGGGTCATTCCTTAATTTGGCATTATCAAATTTTTTTTCAGTAAAAGTAAATGAATATTAAAGCTGTTTTTAAAGAAAGTACAAATTCAAGGCTGCAAAAGTTCAAACTCAAGAATTTTTATACTCTATGCTTTCTGGTACTTTAATATTTCTGTTCCCTTATAGTGCATGTAGAATAAAATTCCAAATTTTCCGGACCACTGTTTCTTTAGATGCATGTCTCTTTCTCATATATATCATTAAAAATCTAGCACCTGATCTCAGCTGATGACAAATAAATTATAAGATACTCTTTCTAAAAGAACAAAATTCCTATGCCTTTAAAAAGTCACCGGAAAACACACCACTAGCCAAGTTTTCCTAAGCAAACTTCTTTTTTAAACCCCAACCCAAAACTAGCTTTACAACAGTAAAAAGAAGCATCACAAAATTTTCATTTTTGATATCAAATCACCAGTAACCCCAAATGAGCATGTTCAGAATCTGAAGTGAAAAACAGGAACAATGACTGACAAAGATTAAGCCCACCAAAACTTCTGCTCTTGTCTCAAATTCACAGCAATTTCAGGTAAAAAGCATCATTTTCTAAATTGTTTTCTTCAATCTATATTTTCTGGCATTGAAAAGATTACATACCTTTATGAAACTTAAAAATATTGCTGTATTTTATTGTGTACATATAGTTGTGTGTATGTATGTGTGTTTATATATAAAACATCAGAAACAACCAAAAATGTTTCAAGGGAAACAAGAATAAACAAAATTTAGGTATCATGTCATGCTTCCACTTAATTTATATAAAAATACTCCAAATTTGTTGCATATTTAAAAAAAATTAATCTACTTTCTCTGAATCCTTGCAGATCTTCATAAACAATGAATGGCATGATTCAGTGAGTGGCAAGAAATTTCCTGTCTTAAATCCTGCGACTGAGGAGAAAATCTGTGAGATAGAAGAAGGAGATAAGGTGAGTTTCAAAACACTAGTTCCATTTTATGCAGAGATGTTTCTTTGTTTCTCACCATTCTGAGCTCTGAACCCCACTGCAAGCTTAAAATATGTCATCAAAATGTGACTCCTAGGGCAGTTTGGGAAATTTTCCAGGTTGCCCTTGGTTCATGAAGAGTACTTGATGGTCCTGTAATGATAATGAGCCTATGCTCCAGGTGTTATAATGATTTTTTGCATATTACTTTTCCTTGATTATTTTTAACTGGAATAATGTCTAGCTTTATTATACACTTCAGACTGAATAAGGAAGGATTGGTCATAGGTCTAATAAAGAGAGAAATCCTTAATCATATAAAATCATTAAGTTGCTAGATGAAACTAAAACAAAGGTTAATATATTTCCAAGTTATTTCATCAAGAATCATCTAATTGATATTAATAAAAACATTTTAAATTGAATTTTTAAATGACTCAAATTGAGTAACTGTTTTATTTTAATAACAAAAACAAAAAAAATCAAACTTGTTGAGTGACAATTTTTTAAATTCTAAATACTGTTTTAAGTTAATTAGAGCAGCTTTATGAAGAACGTGCACTTTTAGTTTGTTTTCCAAATGATGCTAAATGGCAGAATAGAAGGGGTGAGTGATTTACTCCAGGTGATACTGCTAACAAGCAGTGAAACCAGTTTTCTGGTGCTGTCCTGCCCCCAGAACCTGTGAGTAGCATGGTTACTGCTTTACCTTGAAATTATTATAAAGATTAGATCATAGCGTTCACTGTAACAATCACATGTTCCTGTCCAGTTTCCACTTTTCATTCCCTTAGCCTCAATCCATGAGATTACAAATCTCAAAGTACTGACTGAGTCACACTGGCCTATTCCAACATAGCGAGAAAGCTGAGGGCCTGTTTGGATTTTTCAAGAGACTTTGGATTCAGACTGAAATACTCTCAGATCAAAGTGAGACCAAAGAGCAGGAACCAGGGTGCTTTGGCAAAGGAGTCAACAATTTAAGTAGTAGAAACAGAATAGAATGAACATGTGTCTCTTGCTTTCAGATTTCACTTTCTTTACATCCTAATGAGTCAACCATGCATAAATTCTTTACTTGGCTTCTTGTTGCCTTAAGGGAGGTATCCACACACACAAAGGTCCTTTATAGTATTACTCAACACTTTTCTATGGCTTCTGTCCCAGGCCACCACTTTGAGCTACAAGTTCCAACTTCACCATGCCCAATGTCACTCCCCAAACACTGTTTGCTGATCACAGCTTATGTGCATGTCCAGAGCTCAGGCCTCAAGAATAGTTCAAATCACCATCTATAATAACAGTACAGAGGTTCCATGTTTGTACTTACCCTTTTTGAGCTCCTGGTCCTTTTGTTTAAAATAAATAAATAGTAAATACATGGAGGGATAAATGATACATACAAAGATTTTCAAAAGTTCCAGGCACATAAAACCTCCGTCATTACAGTGTTTTGTTTTTTTTTTTATTTCTTTCAAGCCGTCTTGAACCTTCCCAGGTAGAATTTCTCTCTTCTGTGTCATCATAAAGCATTGTATTTGCTGATAACCCTGGTGTTATATAGGTATGGATTACTTAGTCTGAGACAATGTACTCTTGTGGAGATCAACACTGCGTCTCAGTTTCTGGCAATACTTTAATGCAATTGAACAGGTGAATGCAGAAACGTTCTCTTCCATGAAGTTCTGCTAGTGCTAATGATCACTGCCAAGGCAGTAATGCTGAAAATTTGGTATATATATCAGAACTTCCTGGAAGAAGTCTTAAGACACAGATCCACACTTTTCCCTAGAATTTGTTTCCATAATACTAGAGTAGAGCTTGATAATTTGCATTTCTCACAAATTTGCATTTCTAACAAATCCTCAGGTATTGCTGATATTGTTCTTTGGGAAGGAAGTAGGGGAATACATTTTGAGAACCACTGAATTAAAGTATTAAACCTTAAATGATAACTTTCTCAAGATTGGTATTTAATTGGGGACATAAATTTGTTTAATTGACCCATGATATTTGCACATATTTATGGGGTAACGTAATAACTCAATATGTATACACAATGTGTAATGATCAAATCAGTGTAATTATCCTTTCTACAATCTCATATATTCAACACTGTTTATCTTTAGAACCTATGAACTTCTCTCTTCTAGTTACTCATAAAATATATTATATTGTTGTAAACTGTTGTTACCCTGTTGTGGTGCAAAGCACTAAAATTTGCTAAATATATATATTGGAGGGTGGGGAAGATGGAGGATGCCAGGGATTTAACTCCAGAACACTCAACCACTGAGTCACATCCCTATTTTATTTAGAGTCAGGGTCTCACTGAGCTGCTTAGCACCTCACGGTTTCTAAGGCTGGCTTTGAACTCTTGATCCTCCGGTCTCAGTCTTCCCAGCTGCTGGGATTACAGATGTGTGCCACCGCGCCAGCTCCTAACTATATTTTGAACCCATTATCCAACCTCCTTCTGCTACTTTTTCTACCTCCTTTTCTTAGTCTCTAGTAATCTCTATCATGCTCTTTTCTTTGTCATCAACTTTTTGTTTGTTTGTTTGTTTGTTTCCATCTATGAGTAAACTCATGCAGCATTTGTCTTTCTGTGCCTGGCTTATTTACTTAACGTAATGTCCTCTGGATCCATCCATTTAGTCACACATGACAGGATTTTGTTCTTCACATGGCTGAATCATTTTATATTGTGCATATAAACCACATTTTCTTTATCCATTTATCTGCTGACATGTAGAATCCATATCTTGTCTAATGTAAATAGTTCTGCACTAAACATGAGAGTGCAGGTACCTCTTTGATAAACTAGTTTCATATTTTCTTTATATATATATTCTCAGAAATGAGGTATCTGGGTCATAATGACGGTTCAACTTTCAGTTTATTCTGAAGAAACTTCATTCTGTTCTCCATGATGATTGTCCTAATTTATATTCCAACCAAAAGAGTATGAGGGTTCATTTTCCTCCACATCCTCTCTAGCATCTATTTTTTATTTGTTTGTTTTATTAATAACTGTTCTGATTAGGGGACGATGGTACCAATCAAATGTAGTTTTGATTTGCATTTCTCTGATCAGTAGTGATGTCAAACAGTTTCTTTGGAGAAATGTCCAGATCGTTTGCCAATTTTAAATCAGATTATTTGTGGTGGTTTTTATTTTGGGTATCGTTTCAATTCATTATATATTCTAGATATTAATTCCTGTCACATGAATAGCTTACAATTCTTTCCCTCCCATTTGTAGTTTGTTCACTTTCTGGGCAGAAAATTTTTAGTTTGATATAAACCCTCTGTCAATTTTTGCATTTGGTGCTTGTGTTTTTGGGGTCCTATCCAAAAAAGCATTGCCTAGACTAATGTTGTAAGGGGTTTCCCTATGTGTTTTTTCTGATTTCTAACAGTTTCGGGCCTTTAATTTCAGTATTTGATCCATTTTGAGTTTATTTTGTATGTATCGAGAGATAGAAGTCCAGTTTTATTCTTCTGCATGTGGATATCCAGTTTTCCCAGCTCCATTTATTAAACCTCTCTTCTTCAATGTGTGCTTGATGCCTTTGTTGAAAGTCACCTGGGTATAGATATGACGGGGGCATGGATTTTTATAGGTAAAAAAGTTGATTATTAGAAACTCTATTATGACAGTCACTCTACATCTCTAAGGTTGGACAGAGAAACACTGACCAACCCTGGCAAAGTGCTGTAGGATGCCCAGAAGCCTGTGGTATTCTTCATGTTAAAAAAAGAAACAAATATCTTTTATCAGAGACTTTTATAGATGCACACATTATTTCAAATGTTCCTCTAGTTGCTTGAGTGACTCTAACAAGCCTGAGGAAGTAAAATAAAGCAATAAAGGCCTAGGTGTGCACAGCCTGAGCCCCTGACAGTTGTCTCCTCCTTCTTTACATAGGCATAAATGCCACTCAAGTGGAAGATTGAGGATCTGTTTGTAGTTTGCAATTAACCAAAGAAAACAATATACTTGATGTTTTAGCCCTGGAGCCTTGAACATTTAGCTTTGCCATTGGATTACTAGCAGAACATCTTCCTTTGCCACTGAGATTAGTTTCACCAGGAAAACAAATCTCTATGCCTAGAATCTACATGAAACCTTGTCAGGCAGTCCGAGGATTTTTCTTGGCACTATTTGTGGATTTATCTTCTTCTTAAAATGTTGTAAAGGAAAGCTGATGGTGACACCAGAAGTTGTAGAAATGTTTGCCACTGATCCGCTCTGTGCTTACTGACCATTACTCCTGCCCACAGAATAGGCCCAAAACACTTTATACATTCAGCAAAGCTTCAAGTCCAAAAGCTAAGCTGATTGGCTGGACATTTGATCACCCCAGCTAAACTGTTGGTGATACAAACTGTTTATGATAAGCTACTATTTGCTTAACATTCAACATTTCTAGAGGAGTGTTCTTTTGGGAATTTTTCAAAAACTTTTCTTTCTAAAAGAGTTATTATTGTTCAAACAATTTTGCCAGCAAGCATATGCATAGTAAACATTGTGTATTTAAAGGTCCAAATCTAGTCAACTACATGGTCACAGTAAACCTAATATTCTGGAATTGACTCTTTAGATAATTAGCCAAAAGGCTTTAGGGATTTAATTTATGAGTAGAATGAAGCCAACAGTTAGCAGTATCCAGCCTTTCAATAGTATCCTAAAGAAAGAAGGAGGGCCAAGAACAAATGGAGGCTACAAAGCAAAGCACTCATGTGGGTGGGAACTGTTTTCTTTTCACTTCAGTGGCTCTTTGAGGCTGTTCGGACTAATCCTCAAATCTGCTTTTAATATTAAAGCATGACCTAACAAATAATTGCTGGGGATAAAAGTAAAAGTCCATTAAAGTAAGTGCTTGTGGCAGGTGTAAAAGGAAAACTGGTCTGATAACTATTTTCTCCATCTCTGAATGAATTTAACATGGAAATGTACCATCTGGGAGTGACTGAAA